CAGTGTTGTCCTCATACTAGCCTGGCGTGGCAACTAAAGTGGATTTGAAAATTTCGGAAAAATGTAACTATCATGATTGTTGTGACTGAAATGTTGGCATTGTCTTTTAACATTTATTTACATTAATTTATTCATTAATGGGCACAAGGCAGGGAATAACCCAGGATGGTGTGACAACCCATTGCAGGGCACACACACTCACACCATTCACTCACACCTACAGTACAGGCAATTTGGTAACTCCAATTAACCTCAGGATGTTTTTGCACTGTGGGGGGAAACCTGCACACACAGGGAGAAAATGCAAGTTCTACACACATGGAGAACCCTGGACCTAGAGGAGGGAGGCAACAATGCTAGCTAAGTCTGCTCCACCATGCCACCTAGTCAGGGAACACCTTTTACAAAATTACACTGTATTTCAAAGTACTAACAATTTAATGGCAACATAGCCCACGTGCCTTCAATTATAGGATTACACCCGGGGGCCTGGATGAAATGCATGCAAATACACAAACTCAATATAATCAGAATTGTGGCATGCATCTCCAGTAGTGGGGGTGTTTATCGATATGTGTTCTAGCTAACCCTTTTGTTCTTGCGGTCTAGCTAAACCCTTTTGATATCTTCCATTGCTGAAGTACAGTTGCAGTACTCAAGAGCAGAAGTATGGAGGATGCTAAAAATTCCTGGATGTTGTTCCTGCCCCCGCCCCCAAATATCAAAGGCCAACGCGACCAATTCCATGATTCTTTGCGTCCCAAGTTCATTTTTTGGGAGGCAAGTTAGCAAGAATGCTCTTTGCGGCCTTGGTATTGAGAAACACGTTGTGTATGAGATTTTAACATTATCATCCGTGGCTAAGAAGGTTTCAGTTAGGACACATTTGCAAAATGCTGAAACACTGATTTTTTCCAACATACTCAGATTATATCTGGCAGCTGTGTGACTCTTTTCCTAGCAGCTGACATGGAAATACTTCTGAAGGACTCTTTTATGCTATAACTCTCTCAGTATGAAAACGGCTTTAATTTTCTTAATGCTGTTTTCTGGTCAACTAATTGCAAGTGGTAAGCTGAGACAGAGGAAATGGGTGAGATCAGTGGGTGAAGGAACAGGGCACTACTGGGGAAATATGTTTCTCTTCTGTTTCATTATTTTAATTAAATAACTTAGAGAAAGTAATTTATGATATAAAAAGTGTCCTTGCATATCCTGTTAAAAGGCTTTATTTAGTTCCCTGGCTCTTTTTTAAAATGGCCTTTACAATTTTATCCATTTATGCAGCAATACATTACAAATCTTCACCTAGCAAGCCAAATGTCCATAACCATTACGTCCCAGCTACCCCTGTGAGCCTGTTAACAGCTACTGAATTTCCAGAGAAACAGCGAGGTCTCTCAGAGGATGGCAAAAAGGAATATTTTCATAAAGTTAAGCTTTTTTTTTTTTGTTGAGAAGTAACATGGTAGATAAATTCTTCTGATCATAACAGGATTTTTTTTTTTTTTCAAATAATCTCTCACAATGATTTTCCAAAATTAAATTAGCAGCCTTGTAGAGAGTAATGATTGTAATTGTGTCTAACTGCACTCTCATTCTTAGTGGTGCCATTTGTTAAGTAAAAGAATCCACTGCTTATGCTACTTGAGGGATCCCAGGTCGTGCAGTTTGCCCGAGCAATTTCAAGTAATTACATTCTGGCATGGGAGCCTTTCTCTTATTTCACCAGATGAGGTATTATTAATCACATTAAGGGAGAAAAAGACATACATCTCAAAAATATGCAGCACAAAAATGGTGATTGCTATTATTGAATAAATTAGCACTTTTAAATGTCATTGAAACATTGTTAAGTTTCATTTTTAACACAAGCAAAAATGCACAGTTAATAATATATAAAATAACACAAATATTCCTAGTAATAAGGAGCCATTTTTGATGTCTGAAACAGTATAGATTATTGTTTACTTAGGAAATTCTTGCTGCATTCCTGCTGAGATGATTAAAAGATTAATCAATGTAATTAATATTGTTCTACAGCCCTGAATCTAGTTTTATTGGCTTTTGGTTTATTGTATCACAGATTTTAGAGGAACCCCTCACTTTACTTCTGTGGGGTAGAAAAGAAATGGTTCAGTTTGTTAAGCATTACAGAATCATTTTTGTCTTACATTTATAACACATTGTGAATGAAATGCGTTTCTATATATTGTATATATCATTAGGCAATATTTTACTTTTAAAATATTTGAACTAGTATTTTATTAATTATTATCTTACGTATATAATCTCATTGTGTATCCTGACAACCCAGACAGAACACAGGACATCTTCTGGAGGAAGGCTGCTCCAGTGGTTGCTAGGCACCAACGCTGAATTGGCAGAACCTAATCATAATAAATGTATCATTTTCTTTTAAAAATATGTGTTGTAATGGATAGTTAATTATTTGAACATTTCTCAGATTTGACCATTGATTTCAGTACTCAATTAACCCAATGGGTCAATAAATTGGCTAATTTTCACAAATATTTTGTATTCATTTTCGTAGAATTTTCTACATACGTTAAATGACGCAAGCCAATGAGAAAGCACTTTCGAAATTAACTTTGCATACCTGTGTCTAAACCCTCCAAACCAGTTGATTTGGTATACAGTACAGCGTGCATTCTCAAAAATGCAGTAGATAGCTAAAACAAAACACGTTCTTTGGCAGCGGATAGCATGATAAAATCATTTAAATCCTACTTTTTAAACTTATATTGTCCCACAATGGGTGTTGTTTTGGAGAAATGATTAATAACAATAATATCAAGTAAAATTAACATCACAGAAATCTTGACAGGTGTATAAAATGATTTTCAATATGCTACATAAGTAATGCCTACATGCTACAGCAGTCCTGTAACCTTACACATGCAAGACCTTTCTGTGCCAAAACAAAGGATCTTCTTTCCCTAATCTCCCCCTGTTCAAGCCTCCTCTGTGGATGAACGGGTGAGGTGACCCAAGTAGATTTCCCTAATTGCTGGGGAGGTTTCCCACTGATAGTCCTATTATCATAAGAACAGCCCTCTGTCCTCTCTGTTTAGAATAACAACTTCTCTGACAACGCAGAAAACGTAATTGTGTGGCGTAGCCCACTTAAACAATGTACATTATACTGTCTACTTTTTGGTTTTATATAGCGTAGAAACTTATTATGCAAAACTGAAAAGCTACAATAAGTGATACAATGCTATTTATTTTCCAGGTGTTTGCATCACACTTCATAATGATAAAACACAATCTTCACATTGCGAGATACAGGCATGCCCAGATAAAGACACCATTTACTAAAAATAGATAATTTTCTTTGCAGCACAAAGAGCACGATATATATTATCTTGAAATGTTTAAGTTATTTAATTACATTTAGGTATCCTGTAGCAAATTAACCCCCATGCACACACACCCAATTGCTGAAGAAGCCCAGAGATGTCATCATGCTTTAGCAGAGATTAACCAGGGCACATTTAGAGTAAATTGCCCATTCTCTTGGCCTGCAGCAAACAATGGTAGTCACCACAGGTGGTATGATGGTAATTTGGCAATCTTTGTTTACTGTATTTAACTTGCAAGAATATTACCTTTAACTATTTGGCTAATGGATAAAGTACTCTTATTTGTTAAGACATTGTAGAGAAATACTTTACTGACTTTGTCTCGTAGAATGATTTAATAAAAAGAGCATGCTGCATTCGTATATGTCCACATAAAAATTCAGGAGTATGACAAATTGTAAAAATGCATGAAAAACTTAAGAATTTAGGGTTACTTATACATGCTCATAATATCAATAAATGTAGTTTAGGCACTCCAACAGAAATGCTTCTTTTAAACTTATAAACAATAGTATTTTAAAACATAGGGTTTATATATACCAGACAACCAAAAACAATGCATTGTTCTGAGCAATACTTTTTTTATAAAAAAAAAAATCCTTAATAGAGTAAAGTGCCACTGGAAAACAATATGATGAAGTTTATTTCTTTAAACATGCAAGAAAGAATCATGTCTTTACATGCTTTTTACTCACTCACATTCACATAACCTCCATAAAACACACACACACACACACACACACATACACACATGCACCACACAGAAGACCAAAAACAATTTATCATCATAAGCAACTAATGGCTCATTATTCTTCCTGTCTGAGACAAGAGACAAATGTGACACAGTACTATTTTTTGTGGTGCTGACTGCAATTACACGCTCACTAACTGATTTCCCAGACAGGCTGTTTTTTACTGCCTTTGGCTAATAGGGGTCTCAGACCCTTATAGTTTTTACAGATGCACCAGTATTAGCCAGAACCCCTAGACAGGAAAATATCCACAAGGACAAATAGCCAACACTCATATCTATTATCTCCCCCGCTGGCATGCAGAGTGCATTGTTTGCACAGTTGGCTTATTCGACCTACAGAGGTGGACAGCTGGGATTTGTAGGGAAATTTTAAAAATGGATGTTTCATAGGGTTTACCCTCTCAAAAATGCCGCGTTTCACTCTAATGTCTGATCAGGACAGTGTTAAAAATCAAATCCTGCCATTTAATGTGACATTATGAATTGCTTATACCATACTGACTTACGCAAATTAATTTAACTACGGCGTTTTGTGAACAGAGACTAAACGTGATACTTGCAAATCTATGAAAATGTGTCTTCTTCCTATTTTTATTTTTAAAATATCTAAGTAGTAAAAAATATTTTCTTTGCAAAATGAATAAACATTTCATTGTAATGAAATATATTTCCAGCTCAGAAATGTCCATAATGATGTCTGATTAACTGCTTTTGGACAGCTGTACTGAAAACTGGGGAAATATAATTTTACCGAGCGCTCCATATTTTCTAAATCTCTGCGCCGTGTAATCGCCAGTAATTGCATTTCACTTAACTCAAAGTACACCGCCCTGAGCTCCACCCTTAACCCCGGTGCCATTTGAATGGGGTTAAAAAGCTTCTTGTTCTCCTCGGCACTGTCGAGCGTCTTCCAGCTGTGTCGGAAGTTCTGCTTTGCAAAAACTTACTAAAACGGTTGTTGTTATTTTATTAATTTATTCTTATTCTTACGTGGATCAATTCCTCAGTTTAACAAATTTGGATTTTTTTTTCTTGGATCTGCTGGATATAGCCAAAGCTGTGAACATTTTTCAACGAAAGATCTACCAGCATCATGCCTGTTTATTTTCTAGTTTCTTTGTATTTGCTGTCCTCTGGGTTGCAGCCCCATGCGGCGGCGGGTACCGGGGAGTATTGCCACGGCTGGGCCGATGCGTTCAGCGTCTGGCATCGCGGCTTTCAGTGCCCCGAGCGCTACGATGGCGAGGATGCCAGGTACTGCTGCGGGACATGCGCCCTCCGGTACTGCTGTACGGCGGCGGAGGCGAGGTTGGACCAGAGCGCTTGTGACAATGACGACTTTATGGAGTTCGAAAACGACGGGAAAACGACGAAAAAACCCTCACATGGTATGAATGAGTTCCGCCATAATAATGTTATTTTGGTTATCAGCGGAGTTGATAATACCCTGTTTAAACTAATACTGTGCTCCTTGTGCTATTTATTTAGGGTTTCTCTGAGCTTTCAGAACTAATTAGGGCACATTTACACATGTATATAGTTTAAAACTGCATACGTGGGGCATTTTAATTGTATGGTGTTGTGGTAGTAATACGACTTTTCGTCTTCTCTTTTAGTGCCGACATATCTGCCTTTTCTGATTGTTGCGGGCACGTTTGTGTCATTCGTTGTGGTCGGCTCCATGGTTGCTATTTGCTGTTGCCAGTGCTTGAAACCCAAGTCTGGGGACAGTCAGAGTGGCTCGGCACCCATTCAGAGCTGCCTGCTGGAACCGGGTGGCCATCCCTCGGATGGCATGACCCCCTCCCGCAATTCCAGCACCAGCTCCAACTCCACTGGGAGGTCCATGGCAGCGGGCCGCCAGCAGAATGCCGGGACGCTGGGCACAGAGGTCGCTGTAAATGTGTTCAGGCAGGCGGGAAGTGGGTACCCAGTATCTGGTGCTCAGTCCCAGCAGTACATGTCTCCTCCCCAACCTCCTGGCCCCTACTTCCAGCCGTACCTGAACTACGGGATTCCCCCTGAACACACTATGCTGGTGCCTCAAGCTTTTCTGGACAACTGCAGCACCTACGGACAACAGCAGACCTACCCCTTCCAGCACAACCCCATTCACTCTGAGCCATTATACTCTGGTATCACTGTTTAGATACTTTCATATTTGCTTGCTTTTGAGGCAAGCTTCAAAGTTTGTTTCGCAGCTGCGATATTTAGTGTGAACGCCTGTGTGTGTGAAAAATAAAGAAAATCATTTCCTAAAGAAGTGATTAACATTGATTAACAGAGTAATACTAATGACCAGTAAACTGTGATGCTTTTCCTTACAGTGTTTAAAAAGCAGGAAAAATCTGGAACCATTCCTGTGTCATGTATTTTTAAAAAGTTTGCCATTATTTAGCTTTTTATTGTATTGAGAAATGTTTTTTTTTAATGTTCTTCTGTTTTAATTTATTACTTCTTGAAGAAGGAGTATAATGTATTACATTTTTGTAAAATGTTGATAATTCACTGATTTCAGTGTTTATTTAAAACTTACATGTATGGTCTTATCCTCGTATTTGCAGTTAAACTACTTGATTAAAGTTATCTTGCTTTACTTGTCTCTAAGCACACATGGTTTGGTTCATTTACATTGATAAACTTACAGATAACGAGAGACTTGCAATTAACAATAGTGGGTGTTTGGGTTGTCACTTAAATGATTGTGTTGGTCATTATGATGCAGAGTGCTACCATTTTTAACCAGAAATTATTTAGTACATTGGATTTTTTTTTTCTTGCACAAACCAAAGAGTCACACTCTTAAGATGGAATTTAAAGTATTCTTTAAAATGCGGCTTTGTCTTGAGGAAGGCCTCAAGGTTAAGACATTTAAGCTTTAATTGTGATGCAGTCCAGATGTCTTAAGAATGACCCTGTACTTAACGGGGATTATCTCTGTAAAAGAATCAGCAGGAGGTGAGAGTAACAGCGGAGACTGCATATCTCTTCACACCAGAACAGGTTGCAGTGGATCCAGGTATAATGGCTTTTGTCAGTCTCCACTGAGAATTTTGGGGGAGGCAGCAATTTGGCTCAAAAGGTTTAAAAACCTTTGCAAATAATTTATTGCTAGAGTAACAAAAAAGCTGAATGCTGTTAAAATGATTGACACAGGAAAACGCAAGTTAGATATTGCAGTATTAACTATATTTGCTTAAAAGGCAGACTCACTAATTCCTCTGATTTACAAATACCAAAATGTAGCTGATTCACAAAGCCAGCAATATGGGGCGTGCAAAATACAACGTGAAACACTATTCGTTTTTGTGACACTACTCATTCCAAATCCAAACAATTATCTGATAAGATGCAGGTAAATCACTGGGGCAGTGGGGCAGTGTTCTGAAAAGGAGCACTACACAGTTTCCGTGATCATACAGTTGAAGTAAGTTTTTTGTTTCCTTTCAGAGTTTCTCCTTATTTTTTTTTATAAATAAATAAGTTGGAGGAGAAGACCAGATAACTTTAGAGTGTATTTTGATGTGACTATGGAAAAGGCAATAACATGGAAGGGCAATTATAAGAGCGATGCAAATAACATTTTCAACAGTAAATAATAACATATGGATATTCTGAAGATTTGCATATGTCTTGCAATCTCCATATTTCACATAACAAATAATGAAGTTTAACTAAAGTATTTCTGAAATAACCTACTTACTGAATATGTTACAGACAGCATTGCATTTAAATGAGTCCACTACAATAGTGGTATCATCACAATGAAGTTCAGCAATTTACTTCCTGGAGATAAAGACAATGTATTGCAAGAGAGAGCTATAGAACCAACTACATTCCTTTTAATATTTTTCCTTAAAATGATCAATTTTGAGTTGAACATTGGTGGCTAGGTGATTCTAAACCCTATTTAGGGGGATTCATTCACTCTTTTTTTGTCTCAGTCCCCTCAGAAGTTATTATTTTAAATCCATTTAAGTGATTCCATCGTGTATCTTACGGGAGGCAAGCTCCCCTAAGGGTCAAATGCTAGAATCACTCCTGGGTTACCAAATCTTGTTGAACGCAAGTTCTGGAACCTGGTCCCTGTTTACAGTTTCATGGGTTGCCCCAAACTAGAACTGCTGTAGCCGAAGTACAGTTAGCAGTGGGTTCGATATTAGCCAGACATTCATAGAATTTCTCTGTGTTTACTCTATTAAAACATTACAAAAACAAGCAAATCCCACATTCACAAGGTTGTGCATATTTGTGAAATTGCATGCACACCTTGGGTATTTAAAAACTATCTTCAATAAATTGTGAAAATGTGAAAAACAATCCAGCTCCTGTTGTGTATTCATGTGCTCACTGGGCTTTTTACAGTCTGCAATGTTTCAAAATAAAAGTTAAAAAAAAATCTTAACTAATGGTAATTATTAAAGACATACAACACTTTGAAGCTCCATTCCAATGTGAAGTACACGTTCACAAAATCACCAGCACATACAGAACCCACAAACACTAACTAAATAATGTTTCTATGCAGATGGCTTTGGGCCTGTTCTGCTATCACCACAGACATTTCCTTGATAATTCGATAACTCAAAAAGTATTTGACCAATCTTTTTCAAACTTTGCAGACACATTGTCTGGGTGACATTCTGGAACTCAACAAAGCTTCAGACGGAGTGCACCAAAAATTCCGCTTCGTGGCAGTAAATAAAATGTTGACTGCAGATGACATTTGCCATTGTGAATGTCAAAAAGTGTTTCATTATATACATTATATGTATGACGATTTTGAGATTGCCCCAAAAATGAAGCAGCAGGACTATGTGGCTGCAAAGTAATAAAATGAAGGCTATGGAAGACACTGGCTCTTAAAAAGAAAAACAAAATTACCTCTATAAGTATGGGACAGATTTTTTCAAGTTTTGTACAGAAATTGTAAGCATGAATTTTGAGAGAAATTGCATGAAAACTGATGGAGCACTGTATAGTCATAATGAAGAGAAGGGTAGCCTCAGACTCTTGATTTTGTCAGATCTTTTCAAAACTTTGCCTACACGCAGTATGGATAGAGATCGGGACCTTTTAAATTTTTGAGACAAATCACAGCAAAACGCAATACCACTTAGTGGCAGCAAAAGGAATGGGGACTGCAGAAGGAATGGTTAACTCTACTTAATTATATTACTCTAATTACTCTATTTGATCTTTGGTGCATCTTATTACTACTTCACAAAAAATATCATATGAATGAAAATCTACTTCTGATCCCCCTCCCTCTCATGCTCAGCTGACAAATTGACAATTTCCCCCAAAGTTGAAGCAGCAGTGCTAGGTGGCAGGAGAGAACAGAGGCCATCTTGTGAATCTAAATCTGCATATTTTTCAAACTTCCCAGGAACATTGTGTAGGTCAGTAGTTCTAAAAGTGTGGGGTGCAAGATGAATATTTTACTATTCTAAAATAAGCTTTGTATTGATTTTCATCACCACCACCGACCCCCTCCCCACTCGGAAAAATTTAGCAGTAGCAGTCAGATAGCTGGTCAACTAAATTCATCATGGGAAACTGGGAAAATTTATTGTAGAGGGGAATTGAATTGAATCACATAGCCCCAGTCCTAGTCAGTGGTGGCACATGAAAGAACAGGCGCAGATCTGATGAAGCTGATTACATTGATGTAAGTCACACGAAGTTGGGCTTTTAATAAAGATTTTTTGGAGAGGTGCGGAGAGTGTGCAAGGTGAACTTGGATGGTATTTCTGAATCATTTTCAGCATACTGTGGTATTTTCCTTCAGGAAAATTGAACCCCCCTCCCCCTAATGAATGGTATAACAGTATGAAAAATTTAATTCTGCCCAAGCCCATTGTAGGGGGGCTAGAGATGCATGTTGGGGGGTGTGGGAGGAATAATGATTAGATAGGGCAGGGGGAGGGGTGCTGCTTGTATGCATGCCCATCTTAACTAGCCTTCCCAAGTTAAAATGCTAATATAACAAAATTTGTTTTCTAGTTTTTAGTTTTGACAAGTATGGGATGTGGCACATTATACAGATTCAATGTACATCTCAATGTACCTGTGGGGGGGGGAGGGGGGGGTTGTGTGTGTTTGGCCAAAAACAATCTAGGTAGCAGTAACATTTGATCTCAGAAGAAAATCACAAAGGGGTCTGTATGTGTGTGTCTTTGACATGACACCCTCTGTACCTGAAACCTTCAGCATTCTACTTCTCAAACATAGAAAGGTAGGAACTAAATGTATTTTTAGAGCTTTGTGAAGGAAATAAAAAGAACAACAGTCTCTGAGTCAGAATGCAGGGCTGATGGTCCCACCCATTTGCAAGTAGCAGAGCTGTTCATATGATAATGACATGGCGAATTGGCAGTCGTTAACTGGGTCAAGAAAACGTGTAAAAACGGCCAGTTTGACTCCCATAAACAAGAACACACGTCTGGTTTTGTTCATACAAAGGAGCCCCAACATGACACACACACACACGCACATCTCTGCTGCTGAATCCTCGTGCCAGATCCAGGTGAGCCTTGCCCGGCAGAGTGAAGAAGACTGCAACTTCTCCTTGATGAAATTTAGTGTTGAGGACAGTCAGGAAGAACTTCACCATTCTGAGCTTTATCTGTATTCCGTTGAAGCTTTCGTGTGTAAGTTTTGTTCATTTATGTGTTGAGATAATTACCTCCTTCAACACTGTACAGGTACTGCATCAATATAAATCGCCTGTGCCCTCATGTTCAGAGTAGGACTCCTTTCACCGACAAATTATTTTATGTGTCATTCTACCAAGCTCAATTCTTCTGTCATAAAGCAGCTTGCATGGAAATATGCAGAAACTTCTCTGTCTGCACAGTAAATAGCAAAAAACTGTGTCAGTTCTAAAGCTACCTGATATTGTGTACTATATAAAATATGATTATAATAATTACAATTAGTTTTTTTAGTGTACGTTGTTGTGATGCATATGTCGGTTGTAAATGATGGAAATACTTGTAAGTATGTGTCATGGCTGCTGTAGTGCAAATGGCAAATTGTATGTTTTCACTGATTATGTTACAGAGGTGTAGAGAACATTGCCCTTGCAAGCAACAAAGCACAGTGTCAGCTGAAACAGGAAATGATGACGGTGCGACTCCATCACCACTGTGGTTACTTCCTGCACGGGAGCATGGCGTTGGCCTGCAGCTGAGCACACGGGACAGTCACACTTCCACAAGTCTCCTCAACTTCTTCTTTTCAGAGGCCTCTGTTGCAGCACCAAACAAGCCACCAGGAGCATATCCTGAGGTGCGACGTACAGATGGGTGGGTGTTAGAGTTGCTGAATTTTACAGATACGTTGGACTGACCATAACCATGACCAACTGGATCACATAACTAAGTACTGGAAGAAAAACAGGATCTTTTCCATGCTTTTCTGAGGACAGATATCGGACAATATCCTGGAATATACACATAAGTGATCAAGTGATTTTACACCATCTCAGCCCCTCCGTAAATAGGTTCTTGAAAAGTGTATGTTTATAGTTGATTTAAACAAAAATGATTAATGACATTCCTGGTTATTGTAGACCTGTGGGTTGTGGCCAAAGATAATTTGAGGAAATGTCCACGCATATATACACTTATGACAAGGGCTACATGAGGGGCAGGTGCAGACCATAACAATTAACTACACACTACAGCTGGGAACAAGACACAGGTGAGGGTCATCATCACTAAACACTTAGGGCTGAAACAGTAGGAATGGGACAACAGACAGGCCAAGGCAGGAACTGGGCCTGACACAGACAGTCACGGATATATCGATGCATACAATACTAGGCATGAAGTACCCAAAATGATTGTTTGTGATACAAAAATTGTGATGTTCCGAGGCAATAGTTCAGATCTGATACTCTATTTGTGAATGAACTGATGTAATTAAAGCGTGACTGAGAAAACAGAAGTGCCCTGTGGCTGATAAGGTAGAAGACTAAGCTAATTAGCAAAAGAAAATGATGTAAATTAGCATTTTATAATATTCCAATATACTCTTAAGAATTTAGTCCCTATACGGATAGAATGTCTGGTCAGGCTGCTCACTGGAAGTGACATGTGACACCTCTGGACAGCAGCTGTGGTATAATGCTGGGCAATGAATACAGAGAGCTGGTGTGCTTTGCAATGCCTAAAAATTGTGTTCAACAGTCACAACTTGAAAATGACCAGTTAGAAGACTAAGGAGCGGGTTCATATAACATCTTACCAGAATCAGATTGTGTCTTGGCTTGGTCAACTACTCTCAGATTTTTATTTTTTTTTGCATAATTAAGTGGCTACTGGCCACTTCTTGAGTCGATATTTGGTCAGAAGAGGAAGTACAGAGGTAATATGAAACTAAAACAGGTGTCTCCACATTGTTTTAGCTATTAGAAACTTTTGATGCTTTCGAGAAGCTGAGAACGACTCTTTCGCACACTTACGTATTAGCTCTAGTGCAAACCTTTATGTTGTTCTCTGATGCCTCACAGGATAGCATTGATAGTGTCCTGTCACGGGTACAACAAGGTGAAATGACATCTGTGCCTGTAGCTTTGTATTCAAGCAAGTTTCTGTCTCAGACCCAAAAGCATTATCCAGCTCACAATTTGGAGTTTTGGCATTGAAGTAGATTGTATTTCATAAGCTTGTGTTTTGCTTTTTCTTCCCGTTTTTGATTGTGGTTAAGTAGGCTTGACTGGACAGACTGTATGACCAGTATGGGTGTACATAGCATCCTACACTCAGAAACTGGATCGAGTGTTTAGTTTTGCTCTCCTTCCTCTGTATGCCTGGGGGAAACTTGGTAATTGGCAGTCTGTTTTAGGATGCTCTGTTTAGTAACTGTCTCCAGTACTACTACGCTTTTGACAGGTGGTTGTTTGTGTCATTTTGGTGAAATTCAGTGGTAGAGATTATATGTATGAGGGCTGTCAAAGAATTCATTTTAACTTAAATGAATCACATATACAGTTGTTTTGTAAAACCATCCAAAAAGGATACATATAGTTGGTATATTCTTTATAGAAATGTATATTTTCCAAACAGAAGTCTCAAAATAAAGACAAAAATAAATGACCAGTGTAGCATGGGTCAAATAAAAGAGCTATATGACATAAAAGTTGTTTCCCTGCACTATGTCCACCAACAGACTCTTTTATTCTTACAGTTAATGACATTGCTCTCAAAACAGAAGGTGAATGTTTAGGAACAAAAAAACTATCCAAATATAAAACCTACATGGCATTTGGCTCTAAAGACATTAGCCTGACAACAACTGAATGTGTACTTAATAACTGGAGAGATCCTTATTTTAAGATATTAGCCTTCAATAAAATGTAATAAATATTGCAAATTACGATGTTGTTATTCTCAATTTCTAAATGAAATTAGCTATGTAATGATGTTTCCTGACCTTTCCTCTCCATCAGCTTCCCCATGAGATCCTAACTGAATTTTGTCATTTTGGTTGTGAAATCTGGGCCTGGGGCTTGTGCAATCAAAGTAATGATTGTTATGTAATGTGTTATGACTTTGGCAGCCCTGCTTATATATAATGTATTTATATAGAGTTTGATTTTTACTAAAATTACCTTTTTATATGAACCTTTTACATTTCTGACATTTAAATCGCAGCATCTATAGATTACACAATAGAATTGTGTAGTCCTTGTCTTTAGTTCACACTCCCATTTTCTTTGGTGGATGAATTGAGCAGTTTGCAGTTACATTGATACATATAACTGAGGAACATATCATTATGCTCATCTTCTTCATAGAATAAAATGAGAATGTAACAAAACTTTTACCCTTGGCTACCCCTCCCCCACCCCGCAGCTTTCACAAAGCATTGAAGTTTTGTAACAGAACACAATGTCCATCATACAAACCCCAGGAACCACAACAGATGTTGAGTTGTTGACTAAGGTATTTGGTTACGAAAATTCTTGTATTTAACCAAACTCAGTTTAAAAGACACAAAACTATAGATACTAACTTACAGTAACCAGTTAGCTAAAGGAATTAGTTATAGTTAGACTGGACATGCAGCAATTGTTGCCCCAAAGGAAGTGCTAATTATATTGTGTTAAAATCTAATTTTAGCCTTCACAGTTTAACCCAGTTAAGCCAAATCATTCCTTATTTTCCTTAATATATTTCATGTATACATGTGTAAGGAAAAAAAACAGACAAATGTACTTTTCCAAGCAAAAAACACAAAAGTAAAATGCATATTCATGTGTGAAATAAATATCACCACTGTTTTAACATATTTTTTTAACCACATTAAAAATATGCCAATATACCTTTTAGCTATGGACGCTTGCCTGCTACGTCACACTCTCGCGTTATTTTATGAGCTCAGCTGATTTGGACCGTACACACTCAACATGGCGAAATGAGAGTTCCGGAAATGGTCATAAATTTCATCTCCTAAAGTAATAGATTCATAACTATATGCTGAAAACAGTGTACGGTCGTTGTACCGTCGTTTTACCATGGAATATATCACTACGCCAAAGGTAATATCTAGAGTATATTAAACTATTTAGTTCATATGGATAATGAAACTATATTTGGGTCAGTCTTTCTAATTAGGAATTAAATTCTATTGAGGCTAGCAGCAGGTCCTTTAAGTTCTGTTCTGTGATTCACACTTATCATGACCTGTTTTAAGTGTAAGGCATGTTATATGTATTTTTTCACATTGCAGTTTTAATGTACCTAAAATATAAACGCTGACATACGCATATTAATCATGTACAGAAATATTCGCAGTGATTATCTTCTTAAAGGCTTAACATTTATTAGAAATAACTAGCATAGAAATATATTCCCGCTATGATTATTTGAAAGAATATATTTTGCAAAATAGTGTTGAAGAAATCCGTTAGTTCTAAAATTTTAGTTTAGGTTAAATGGGTATTGTACTTTTTAGGACATTTAAAATAGTTTTCAATCATTAACCGCTTTTAGGCTAGACATCCTGTTTTTTTTTTAATGTATAACGTACTAGTGGCTAAACACAAACTTAGAACGGCGTAAAATAAGCCTTCCGTTCTGCAGGGCTGCTGAGTCGTGATGATAGGAATCTGCGTAGCCGTGTTTCAACACCCCCTTACAATTGGTACAATTTTAGTACCATTTTCCACATTTTTGCAGTCTGAAATATTGCACAGAAGAAATTTATATAGCCCTTATGAAAGTTTCATTTCCGTTTGCCTAATGACGAATATGTAGGCACTGTAAATGCTGAATATAGCTGCAGCTGAATAGAAGCTGTATGCGGATGAGTACCCCATGAAATGTGTGGTTTGTGTTTTATTCTATGGCATTGAATAATACAAGTACTTATATGGTGGTCTAGTCACTTAATCGCTTTCCCATACATTTTTACAAAATGTATCGCTTTTATGATTTTAGTAGTATCGATCTTCATCTTGTGTTCAGCAAGGCAAAAGTATGCATTTAAATGTAGAGTTGTATTGTAATGTAGTTGCAATATACCTACATGATTTGGTTTTAGAAAAGTGTTTTATTTTGGCTGACTACTATTGGTATTGCAAAGCATACCACTTTGCTCCTAAGAGTATACATGAACTGAAATTTGTAGAATATGATTGTAATAGAAATATGATTGTAACACATTCATATAGGTACACTGTACTGCATATGGGATACTTCTCAATTGTAGGCTTCTTCACCCATTGTATGTATCAAGTTTAGCCAGCATTACCATACAGTGAGCAGCAGGCAATGATATTGCTTTTGTAACACATTCTGTAACTTTAACTGGAAAAAACAGTAAACGGCTTGAAGTAACAAGTCAATGTTTTGTAATGAAATACATATGTATGCATTTCACTTAATTCAGAAGAATGTATTCTTTACCTTCTTTCAAATGGGAAAAAAATAGATTCAAAAGGATGTAGGAGTTATGAGGCTCTGAACTGAAAAAAACACATAATCTCATTCTTTTAAACCCTTTCTTCCATGAAAATAGACCTTTTGAGTATGTAAATTATGTAAAGTATTTTCGAGAATTTCTCCTTTGTCTTTTTTATGGAATTTTCTTTTGGGAAATTAGTTGAATTGAAATGGAATGACCCTAACCCCACACTGATCTAGCTTTTCCCAGCTCACATTGCCAAGCTAAAAAAATCATTTGTTGTTATTTGGACAGAAGCACTTATTTCTTTGTTCAGTTTTCTGTCTCTCTCATAAATAAGAAAAAAACAGAATTTCCCAAAAGTAAAACATGGTTTCTTTCATACATATTTTCTGTGTAGCTGCAGAATTTTCAATCAATATTACAAATTATGTGTAACTCTGTAATTAATTGTTAAGACTGCTGTGTTTTTCTAGGTCATGGTTTCTTCCATTTTCTTTTCATGACAGTTATTAAAAATCTAAATAATTCAATTCCATTCTAAAGAATGTTTTTATACTTAAAATTAACAGGTAGAACAAGTTAAATTACTGGACAGATACACACCCAAGAAGCCTGCGATTGGCACTCTTTATTTGACAACAACTCACCTGATCTATGTGGAAACAGCGTCAGAGACACGCAAGGAAACCTGGGTAGATATATATATATATTTAAATTACATTCATGTAAACACTGTGAGACCTGTGTTTATGGAGAAATAAATTGCAGTACATTGAATTATGGTTTTACATTGTCATTGTCTCTTGCTGGACAGATCCTGCACCATCACATAGCGACAGTTGAGAAGCTGGCTCTCACACCAGCAGGGTGCCCCCTTCTCATCCACTGTAAAAACTTCCGTGTAGCTCACTTTGTTCTTCCTCGGGAGAGAGACTGTCAGGATGTTTTCCAGTCCTTACTCAAACTGTCACAGCCAGGTACAGTGGTCATGACCACAGCACTGTTGATTTGCTTTGTGTTCATTGCTTTATAATTCTAATTCAAGGGAGTATGACGCATCAAGATGTATTTCTCAGCATTCCGGAGATTACTCTGTGTTTATGTGTGTAACGGTTGTTTGTGTTTTTCATCTGGCAGCAAAATATGAAGAATTATATGCTTTCCTGTACAACCCAAAACAAGATGAAAATGACAGAAGAATTGGCTGGGGTGCGGTAAATCTGAAGATGGAGTTTGAGAGGATGGGCTTGCCTAATGATTTGTGGGAATTGACTGATCTTAACAAGAACTATGGAGTAAGTGCTTTTCTCCCTCTCTTTTGATTCCTTGATGACTATTTTGCTGGATTAGCATAAAGCTAATGGTAGACATAATGCAGGCAGCTGGTATGTATTGGGTATGTATGAGTATGGGTTAATATAAAATTTTAAAAAGGTTATAAATGTATAAATATTATATATAGAGAAGAACAAGCTGTCATTTGTCTTGTGGAATATGAATAATTTCAATGCATTATTTGCGGGGAGTGTAACTGTACAGAAAGTTCATGGTTCAGTTTTGGGATCACGGCTCAGTGCAGTTTCGGTACCACAGAGAAAACATAATTTGTTCCGAAATGATTTATTATTAAAACTGCACACAATTAGGAACAGATGTAAACCAAAAGCAATGTGTCTGGATAAAAAAAATAAGTAACGCTTATTTGCGCATTGTATCTACAATGTAACAAATCGAAAATATAACATCATAACAATTATAATCCTACTAAATGTTGTCTAAATCCCATGTACTATGCTAACTATACTGAATTTCCTGGCAAAAGTGCCTTGGATGCCTTGGTGAGAGGCTGTTTTCAGCCTTTTCTGGTGGTACACGCACTAAGATGATGTCGTCTCAAATGAGATTGATGTGTTTCCACCAACATATCCAAGTCCTGTATATCAGCCGACAGACAGCCTTGGTCTCATCAACTACTCTGTCTGGTGCTGGTGTAATTTATGGAAAGAACAAAATGTTCTCAAACTGGCCATTATAACTGACTGTAACCAGCATTTGTCGTAACCAGCTTAGCCACAATTAGCATAAATGTTATCCATGTTGAAAATCATCTTGTGAATTTAGGTTCTGCCAGTGTCAATAAATGAATTGATTTGTTGTGTTGTACGTACAGAACTGAACGTGATGTACCAAACTGCAAAGATGAATACATGTACTGTTACAGTCCTACTATTTGTTCTTCACTGTAAATCTTCACTCATTAATGCCCTCATGATCATCATCTACTGCCTATCGTGATCCATAGATCTGCAGTACGTATCCTGCTGAGCTGGCTGTCCCAAAAGCAGCAAGCAACCCCACGATAGTGGGTAGCTCCAAATTCAGGAGCAGGGGACGATTTCCAGTCCTGTCTTACTTCCACAAGGAGAACAGTGTAAGTTTAATCGTGAAACACCCACAGAGAGTTTTTTCCCAATTAATTTATATTCCAGAATCTTGCATTTAAGGAGGTTGTGTTTCCTTTTTAGGGGGAGGCAGGGGGGTTGCGTATGACTCTAATGATAATCATTATTTCGCCCTTCCCATAGGCTGCTATTTGCCGCTGCAGCCAGCCTCTGTCTGGGTTCAGTGCTCGCTGTGTGGAAGATGAACAGATGCTGCAGGCCATTAGCAAGGCAAATCCCAAGAGTTCCTACATGTATGTGGTGGATACCCGACCCAAGGTACTAATATCTGCATTAAAAAAGGATTAATGACTGGATTTCAGATTACCGTTTCTCGTACAAATTCCACAATTCCTTTTCTTCTCTAGTTGAATGCTATGGCCAATAGAGCTGCTGGGAAAGGTTATGAGAATGAGGACCATTACTCCAACATCCGCTTTCAGTTTGTGGGTATTGAGAATATCCACGTGATGAGAAGCAGTCTACAGAAGCTTGTGGAAGGTTGTTTTTTAATTAATTTATTTTTTTTACACAGCCAATTACATTTACCATAACCTTTGATTACTCAGCAACATTATTAATATGTGTTCACTAATCTATGTTAAGAATATAAAGATACAGCTTAAACCACAATCTGCTGTAAATGTTCTACCTGGTACAGAAATGTACATATTAATTTTGTCAACAGTGTGTGCAGTGAAATCACCCACGATGAGTGACTACTTAACTGGGCTGGAGAATTCTGGTTGGTTGCGTCATATTAAAGCAATAATGGATGCTGGAATATTCTTAGTGAAGGTAATGCTATCTCCGAATCACACTTCTGAAATGTAATGTTACCCCTGGTGTTCGTTTATTTTCATTTTATTTTCACTTGCTTCATTTGAAAATTTGTTGAATTCAATTGGTTAAATGGTATCATAGTGTGCAAAATTATTAAAGTTTATTATTTAGTTTTTTTAACAAATACAATCTTGCCAGTGAATTCCAATTTTTTTCTCTGTATAAAAACTGAATGATTATCATAGAGTTTAATCATGCTGGAGTCACACATAAAAACTAGCAATTTCAAGTCATCTTGCATCTTTCTGAATGGTATTTCACAATTTTTCTGTTTCCAGTATCCATTAGATCTTTTTGGTCTGTTTCACCTGTAGTAAAAAGTTGCCTCATTATGCACACTTGAATAAAACACATGTCCTTTCTCAATCCAGCAATTATATCACCTGCCAATGATTCTATCCAGCAAATATTTAGACTGATATGATTTGGAGTTGGAATGATGTTCTTGGAATGGTACAGTGGACCCCATTCTGGGCTTCCAACATAGGCTCTATAGGACAAGTGGGTACAGAAAACAGTCGGATGGAAGATGTTCTTGGAAATAATACATGATCAGAATATGGCAGAATGATTATGCACATGCTGTAGTTTTTACTTACGCCGGTTCCTCTTGCAGGCTGTGACAGAAGAAAACGCCAGTGTGCTGGTTCACTGCTCAGATGGTTGGGATCGTACGGCTCAGGTCTGCTCTCTGGCTGCTGTTCTCCTGGACCCCTATTACAGAACAATGAAGGGTTTGATGGTACGGGTACACTAGTCGCTAATCTTTTCCTTTGTTGTTGGACCAGCCATGTCTAGTGTTTAGAAGTGGATCCATTCGCATGGGCTGTTGCAGTTTTAAATGAGATTATCTCCAGATTCACTTTATACAGCTCTTTGTTAAATCGCTACATTTTATGTTTAATTATTTAATGTCAGTTCTGTTGCTTTACATGGTTATTTCTTTTAACTAATTTACCCCCTCATTTAAAGGTTTTGATAGAAAAAGAATGGATATCCATGGGACACAAATTCACTCAAAGGTAATTCACGTTCAGTATCTTTCATCCAGATTATTTTCCCATTTCTACCTAGTGTTTACTGTTAGGGTAGGGCTGTAATCCATCAGAAAGTAACTTTGTTGAATTTAACTATTTCAGTCAAGCTTTAGTTCAATTGTTTGTGTAGAGTCAAAACGTTAAGATACTATCTTGTTTGCACAAGATAATCAGGGTATTTAGCATGCTTCTGTGAACATGGAGCATAAAATTTTACTTCTGTCTTAGAATGTCTTGCAACGATGAAGTTAGGCTCATAATCAATATTCAGTTTTCCATCTATAATGTGTAGCCAGTCAGTTTTTAATCACAGATTCTTGATGTCCAATACACAGTGACGTATACCAATCATTTCAGGCCCTTTTTCAGGACTTTGTGGGCTCCATATATTTGGGAATTAAATGGGGATAAATAGTCTTAGTAGTTTTAGTAATAATTATTTAGATTGTTGCAACTTTTTACCATGTGTAACAAATATTTTTTTAGGTGTGGCCATTTAGAGGGAGAACCTAAGGAAGTGTCACCTGTTTTCACTCAGTTTGTTGAATGCCTCTGGCATTTGATGGAGCAGTACCCTTGTGCTTTTGAGTTTAATGAGAGATATCTCACTGAAATCCATGACCATGTGTATGCCTGCCAGTTTGGTAACTTCATTGGCAACTGTGAAAAGGAGAGATTAGAAATGAAGTAAGTATTCCTTTTCTGATCTGTTCATTTATGAGTTTTTTTCTGTCTCACCCCTATTGAGAAAGTGAATACAGTCAAACTTTGGATTGCGAATGACTTGGTCTGTGAGTGTTTCACAAGACGAGCAAAAATTTTAAATAAATTTTAACTTGATAAACGAGCCAGGTCTTGCAATACGAGTATTACGTATATGCTTTGTCTGCCGAGCGTCACGTGATCACAGCTGAGCCAATGGTTTTTCTGTCTCTCTCTCTGCGGGATTGTGGGTAATCGTCTCCCATGCTCGGTCTCAGTCGGTGTGCCTCACTCGTATGGTCAAAATGTAGTAGAAAAGCACCACACGAATAAGGGCGTAGCAGTGTTAGCGATGAATATGTTTAAGGACAATGCAATGTCACATTTCCGCGAAATGGAAAAGGAGGCAGGAGCGGCTCTCATTGGATAGATTCCTTGTTAAAGTCGCACAAAAAGAAAAAGATTACAGTGAGCCAACAGATAGCAGTGATTCCGTTCTATAAAATAATCCTCCTCTTCTCCTCTCTCTCGTCTCCCTCACACCATCCACAATTTTTTTCAAAGGTAAAGTGCAGGTTAATTTGTTTCTTGTATTTTTACTTTATATTTTGTATTAATCATTTTTTATGTGAATATTTTTGGGTTGTGGAACGAATCATCTGAGTTTCCATTATTTCTTATGGGAAAATTCGCTTTGATATACGAGTGCTTTGGATTACGAGCACGTTTCCGGAACGAATTATGCTCGCAATCCAAGGTTTTACTGTACATTTATTGCGGACAGTGATTGATTCATGTCAGTTCATTAACTTAATTAGCCAGATACTTATATATAGTAAAATAAGTAAAATGTGTGTTAATAAATATAAAAGCTTCTTTGTTTGTGCAGATGTATCTGAGTTTTATCTTTATTTTACAGGCTGCAGGAAAAAACTTATAACATTTGGCCATTTCTGTTGGAGAAAATACAGCAGTTTACAAATCCACTATATAAAGGTCTCTTTTATATTGATGTGCTGAAACCAAACACATTACCATTCAATTTCAAGTAAGGAAGAATTAATGAATGTATGTCCGTGTTTTATATATGTGTGTGTGTGTGTGTGTGCGTGTACACAGGTGTACACAGTACTGTGCAAAAGTCAAAGAAAATGTTTAAAGCTATTTATCTAGGCAGTAAGTGTATCTTTGCTCACAATTTAATATTAGAATCTATGCACGAAAACGGTAGCACAGTAAAAACTAATACTTTTTCCGTTCTCCAAAAAGTTACTGACTTGTTGGATGGCTAGAAGAACACTGCTTCAGTTCCCAAACCTCCTCAGGGGCACCTTAACCATTCCATGTATTGGCTAATTTTCACCACCAGCTCGACTGATTGATTGATTGATAATTAATTAATTAGCTCGGTGAGGTATTGATTAGCAAAACATTGTATGCTAGTAGTCAACCATTATAGAGCTGCTTTGATAGAGTAGTCACCCACAATGTACTTGATATGACATTACCTCAAGCAACAAGTCAAGTTTATGTCTACTCTGAGTATGAACTGATTTAAAAATCTATTTCTTCAGGCTTTGGTGTGGTATGTATAATCGGTTTGATAATGGCATGCATCCAAAGCAGTCAGTTTTGGATTATCTACTGACACTCACCAGACAAAAGATAGAGGATGAAGAGAAGGTTGAGAGTCTTCAAAAGGTAAGCATGAATTTGTCATTGACTGTATAGACTGATATATAACAAGTGGTAAGCAAGTTGATAAATTCTATGAAATTTTCTCTTATACAATTCAAAGAGGCTGGCAGCAGTCGACGGACTGCCAGAACGAGGTTGTTCAGACAATGTGTCTGGTGGCCAAGCCTCCCCTGTGTCAGCTGCACCCCTTTCCTTTACTGGTAATGAAGCCGTGGATATTTTCTCCCATACCAATGGCACTGAAGAGAACTCAAAAGCAAGTCTTGCCACTTAGAGCGATCAGGAAGAAGAATGCTGATATTCGACAAATGAGTCACCATGACAGTCGCAAAACCAAACTACAATTTTCACAACGGTTATGCTCATAGGATCATTCAGGTCATACATTTCTGTCCTTTTTAGTGAAAAACTTGTTCTACAAGCACGGCAAGTAATAACTGATGGGCTAAGAACTTCAACAACAAAATGGAGTGAAGGCATTTCACAGATGAGATGGTGCTACAAAAGTTAATCAAAATGGTTATTTCTTTGTAAATTAAGGGGCTTAAGACATACAAAGGATTATATGTTAAGGGAATTCAGTCAAGTAAGGGATTAGAATTCAACTGGATTTAACAGAACTGGACTTAAAAATCTATACTTTTTTTTATCAGGTTATTCTCAAGTAATATTTCTCAATATGTCTTATAAATTCTGTCAATATTAACATATCTTCCATCTTTACCCCAGCCTTTCTTAGATTTTCTGTCATATGATTTTATATTTTGCGAACATTTTAGCTTAGGTTTAATTTGAATAAAATTTCTTTTGAATTCAAATGTATGCATACAGGTGTTAATACATCATTTCATAGTTTCTTTAGTAAACAGGCTGAATTATGTAAAATTGCAATTTCCCCCATGCTCAGTATGTGAAATAAGTGTGCAGTTTTTTTTTTAAACACCCAGAATTGCATCTTGGTGTCTTAATTGTGGTTGCACAATACATGAATATTGTGTATTTTGAGCACAGATAAGGAATACTGACATCAGTTTTATGCAAGTTTCAATATACTGTATGTGTCAAGCAGTGGGATGTTGCTAGTGTTTACCCCACTGTATGTTCAGAATACTTTGTACATCTATATTACAACTTTTTCAGTCTAACAACGGTAAAAAATAATTTTAAATTCCTGGTTAACATGCGAATGACACCGGAAATGTATGTTATTCAAATTTTGTGTATAAGTGTTTCTCAAATTATGTGAGGCATTTTGTTCTTTATTTGCACAGTTAAAGTAGTACTTTTCAAGATTGTACACCTGACTGAATCTACACATGATCAATGTCTAGTATTATCAGACACCTGGCCGTTTCATTGTTTTTTTGTCAGTTTTCAGTTTCCAATATACCTGTTAAACGTTTGCGTTGCGTGAATCAGTTCTTGATTTTTGTTGTAATAGTTTGTGATGTTATACGTACCGTTTGGCTAGATATTAACCTAGACTGTTTGGCTAGGGGAGCTTCAACCATTAGTATTGCTTATTTGACCTAAACGCTGCCGAGAATTCTGTGATGCTGACATTTGTGTTATGATGAAAAGTATCGAAATCCCATTTTGAATGTAATGTAGATACAAGCTGAAATGTAGTGCCTTGTTGCATAAAACTCAGCTGGTGTCATCATATGCATGGTAATGTAAGATACTAGACTGGCGTCATTCACAGCACCTGTCTGAAGTTGAGCAGGAGAAATACTGCTGCAGGTGTTTCTGCAGTAGTGATTTGACAGTGTAGACACAATTTCTTGCTCCATTATGCAGAGTATTGTATGCATTGAAATACAGATGGTATGTTTCTCATATTTACACTTTAATGTATTTAGCCAGTATTTTTTTGAGGTATCTTTCAGATGATACAAGCCATGTTTAACAAAAGGTATAACCCAAACACATCACAAGCACGTTTAACTTCTCAAGAGTGATATGTTAAGAAAATGAAAATTGGCTTAAAATGAACACGACCCTCTAAGGCAGGGGTGGCCAATCTTATCCGCAAAGGGCCGGTGTGTATGCGGGTTTTCGCTGCAACTCCCTAATTAGATTACTAATTAGAGGACTGATTGGCTGAAGAGTCCTCACACCTGGGTTTGAACAGCTGACCTACAGGTTATCCAAAAAACCCACATACACACCGGCCCTTTGCGGATAAGATTGGTCACCCCTGCTCTAAGGAAACACTCCAGTCATTCATGTAATTTTGTCTTCCACAGTGAAAATTTGTGTTGTGGTATGTTAAAATACAACAGTATTGTACATAATTTAGGAGCCTGATAAAGTAACTGTCTACATTCCAGTAACTTTATGAGACATTTGATCTGCATTTAACAGGAGTTTTTTTTTTTTAGGTTTTAATCTTCCTTTAATGAAATATGTAATTTCATTTTTTGTATTAAACTGCTTTTGAAGTTATTTTTTGTGTCACTATATTTTTGATTTTTCAGTGACATTTTTAAAAGCTGTTTACAGGTTATACTGAAATGGGGAAATAACTCAAATTAGGAATACAGAATTATTTTAGAATCTTCTTTTCCTTTAAAACATTATTCTGTACAGTTCTTTTACTTTTTTGTATGTGTTGGTTGTTTTTGTAAGAAGCGCATCTTTTGCAAAAATAAATGTTCTTGATATGAAGCATCTCTTTTTCATGAGATTTTTCCCCTTATATTCCATGTTGCTTACAAATCCATTTGTGGCTGTGTACTAAGACCTGAAAGTACCATATCTGAGGTATAAACCAAACTGGTCTTAGAGAGGTGATATAAAAAGAGAAGAGATGGGGACCAAGAACCGAGCCTTGGGGGACACCTCAATGGGTTAGACAACCATTAAAATACCAAGAAAAAACTGCAGATTAATTTCAACTGACTACCAGAAGAAGTCTTTCAAAAAAAATACATCAGTGAAAAACATACTCGTACATTTCACTTTTTTTGGGCCGATTTGATTTCAAACATGCATATCAGCATTCACCTTCCCTTGGTCCTCAAATGCTTCACATACAATGAACAGCAATTATAACCTTAAGGCATCGCCCCCTCTCCAAAGCAAAGAAAAAAACTTTGTTGTTCTATAAGATTAAATCATAATTTTTAATGTTTGTGATAAAAACATCCTGAAATTAACACAGTTTGTTCCACAAAGCCAGCAACTTCGGGATCACCTTCGTCCCATCCAGCTTAAGAAAAATCTTTTGGAACACTTCAAAAGAGTAAGCTCAGATGGGTATCTCAGATTGCATACTTTAGCAAGTAACATTCTTGTAGGCTGCCAATATCTCTGTGCTGTTAATAACCAAAGCAACATAAGGAAGATTTTCAGTGTGAATATCACAATGATATTCAGTTTAGCATCTGTTAAGCATCTTGAACAAACTCCATGATGACATCTTGTAACATGTTCATACCTAGTACATTTAAATACAGACGCTCCTCTACTTACGAACCTTCAACTTACGAACTTTCAGACATACGACCGAAGAGGACTGTGAGTCCTAAATTGCATTCATTAGGCTCCCGTTTCCTGTCCGTAACATCAAAGTTTGTTCTGCGCGCCAATTCTGCCTAGTACGAATGCTGGCTGCTACTCCCGCCGCGAAGCAGTGTAGCATGTGTACTCCCAGCATTCCAGTTCTTTGTACTTGTGTATCGGTAGACGTGTTCTCTTCAGATCAAAGTTTAGTTAGTTTTTATTGCGAAATATTCTGTGCATCCATTATCCATTTTTCTTTTATGTATCATTAGTAATGTGTTTTAGGATAAGAAAATGTATTGATTTTATATCATACTGTCATGCCCCGGTTGTCCAATACTCCCATGTGCCACGCCCCCTCATTTACGTCGCGTGGAATCCCCGTGTTACCAGCTGTTTCAGGTAATGTTGATTGTTGCTGTGTATACATCCATGTTGGAGTATGTTTCCCCAGTCCAGTCATTAACGTCTTGACATCGTTTTCATGTTCCGTGTTCACCTGATTTTGCCGGCTTCTGTGCTGCTTAAATACACAAAACTAATTAACACAACTAAAAACAGCTGATTACACAGGGATTCCAAACGAGATAGCAAGGGGGGCGTGGCACACAGGAGGCTCGGCATGAGCAGGGCATGACCCATACTTACTTATGCATGTAGATTTGAGTACCCTTAAAATGATGCTGAATAACGACTTACGAACATTTCAAGTTACAAACGGCCATTCGGGAACGTATCTTGTTCGTAAGTAGAGGAGCGTCTGTACAGCAAAATCATTCCACAAAAACGTTTCTAAAACTCAGGAATGTGACTTAGTAATGCAGCTCTGGAGAGTGTCATAACCTGATAGTAGCAGATTCTGGACCATTTCTACTGCCCTTATTTCAGCTGTAGATTCACATTGATCATGTACATCCAAGATAGATCTAGCTAAGTCATTGCTGAATGGATGCACTTCAGAATCAGAATGTGGAGATGTCGCACTACAGGCTGATATCTTTACTCAATGACAATGAAACTTGAGCCTGAAAGTGTCCTGGACTCCACCTTTGCTCACCATCTCAGCCTATGTGCAATATTACTATACTATTCAATAATAAGCCCGTAACTGACCGTGTCTCCAAATGGGTTTCGGCTAACTCATCAGCCAACGGGGTGCCCACACACACTTGATTGTCATCCCATTGATTGAAGGCACCTGACTAATTACACCTTCAAATTACCTGCTAATTCTAGAGGTTTACATACTTTTGCCACTGACAGATATGTAATATTGGATCATTTTCCCCAATAAATAATTGACCAAGTGAACTATTTTTATCTCAATTATTTAACTGGGTTCTCTTAATCTACTTTGAGGACTTGTGTGGAAATCTGATGATGTTTCAGGTCATATTTATGCAGAAATGTAGACAATTCTATAGGGTTCACAAACTTTCAAGCACCACTGTAACACCTATAGTCCTGGGCAAAGTGCTTGAATCTCTACATAAAAGACACCGAAGAGAATTGTCTCTATTACCACAGTTAATGCAGAGTTGAATGATTTTCAAATTGGAATTGTTAACAAAAGGAATATTTACCAGAAGATTGCTCGACTTTTTATAAGGCAGAGTAAATTCCATGTATCAGCTGCTGAAAACTGGTGTTTATGCAGAATTCTGCCATTTCTAATTGGACAATATGTTCCTGTGGCAGACCAGTACAGAGATGTCTGTCTAAAGTGCATGAAAATTGGTCATACTGTCACTCAAAATCCAGAGAAGTCAGCTGCAATTTCTCACAGTTCTTATTCCTGATTTTTTTTTGTCATAATTTAAAGCCTTCTTCTCTGAGTGTTTCACACTAAAACTTCAATACCTCATTCACTATCCCCAACATCTTTGTAGGTTTGGGCCACTGAAACTGTTGTGGTGTATGAGATCTGAGAGCAAACATCAGACTTTTAAAAGAGCAGAAATCTTGGCAATTTCATCAACATTTGCCACACTCTTGCCAGATATCACCAGCGTTGACAATTGCCATTCTTCAGATAGAGGAAGAAGTTCTGGTAATGTCACATGTATCAGTTGACGCAGTTACCTATCAGATCAACAACAGTATCATCACGGATGTTATTAGAGAGGATGTTCTAATGTTTCTCGTGAGTAAAACAATACAGTTTAGGGGCAATGTGATTGTTTAAGAGGAAAACACACACCTCTTTGCATATCAAGTTCAAGAGGAAAAACACTGGGTCACTGAAAACCAGGTGGGGTAAAAATTAACATTCTCTCCATTGTTACACCAGTGACGATAGTGACAAATTCATGTCACTCCATTATGGTGTTTATCTATGAGGGTAAAACCATAATTAAAGTTTACTGCATTAAAATGTGCCTTGATGAGATTTAACTATGAATTTCATTAAATGCACGTCAACATATTTTTATTTGTCCCCCAAAATGTGATAAAAAAAACCTGTTATTTTGATTTGCGAATGTAATCAAAAAACTAAAAATGGCAAAAGTCTCATATTTTTTTGGTTACTTATGGGTAAGGTTAGGGCTGGGTAGAGGTTAAGGGAGTCATATTGGGATTACAGTTTTGTGTGTGTGTAAAATGTTATTCAGTGTGTGGTCACTAGTTCTCTGTGAATATACTTCAGTTTTTTACCCATGACTGAGAATGACCATCTACATGAACCACATATACACGCGCCAGACCTCCCCCCAGAAGTCCAGCACTCCCTTAATAAGAAAATACCCTTCATTTAAAATAAGAGAGAAGTCACACATTAGGGCAGTACTGATACAAGTGCAAGTAAGGAAACCATACTTTACTGCAGAAGCAGAACCTTTACAAGAAGAAGCAAGTCACCAATGGAATGCTTCTCAGCAAATCACAATGCTAGACTGGAATTTTATCTCTTCCAGGTACCCTAGTCACAAGATGTACTCAGATATGTCACAAACACTGGTTACAAAGTACCCGTTTCTGATGGCAAGCAGCCAATCTACTTCCATAAGCACGCATTCTAAGCAGTTAACCATCCTGGCTACATCTGCTGTGCCATTATTAGCAGAAATATTGAATAATTCATTCATTCTGAGGACAAATTTCTCAAATGCTTGAAGAACAAATTCAGAGGTCAGCCACAACTATGTTTGTAATTTTGGTCGTTTGTTTATTTTCTTAATCTATGTAGGCTATATGTGTTGTGGGTACTTGTTCCCTGTTTTTAATAATGTTCAGTTACCCTTGTATTCTAGTCTCCCTTGCTGTTTTGATACTTTATCTGTCACTTGCCCTCACTTTTGTTTGTGTTCCTAGTATTTGTTACTGCTCACAACTATCTCTTGTTGAAGTCCTTGTTTAGTGTACTTAAGTCCCTACCCTGCCCTGACTCTGTTCCCCAGCTGGTCAAAAAATACTTCGAGATTGAATGAATATTGTAGTGGACCGCCAATCGTGCTTTTAACAGCTTGCCGACAGCGCCACGGTTCGAGCGTCTGTAAGCACAACACCTTTCACGCCAGCTGCGGATTATTGGGCAGTGTAGTGTCAATCAAAAGATTTCGAGTCGTTTGCAGGCAATGAGTAGATCTCAGACTTTGCATCGATCGGAAGCAAACAGCAAATATTCTTTTTTTAATAACAAGATTGTTTCAAGTTCTCTTTCTTTGTATCTTAAAAACAGTTTTAACAGTCTTGCGCTCGTGTATTATGTGGTGGGTAAGTAATTGTTACTGGCTCATTTATTATTTATTTGCTAATAATACTATGCTAGGGCAGAGGTAGCTACTTGCTTAGTTATGGAGAGTTACACCATTAATTGCTGTTTAGGCTTTTATAAGATTCGCTGTACGGGATGGAAGACAAAAATAACATTGTGCTGTTTGAGGTTCAGATACGTGCATTACGCGTAAATGGCCGTATTCGGATCTAAGAAACATCGACCGGATCGTTTACAAGTAGCTTGTTACTTAAAATGATCAGTAATGGAGGTGTACGCTGGCTTTGCTGCATTACTAAGTGCATCTATTTTACCGTAAATACACAGCAGCCTTCAGTCAAGCCTGGTGACTTCAGGCCCGCAAACATGATGCGTCTCTTTCGGGGCCGCAGTTTCCGCTGAAATAATATTTTCGGTTAAGAGGTTAAATTTCTAAGTGCCGGATTTCTTC